TACTAGGTGGAAACAATTTAGCAGCGATCTCATTAACTGAGGATCAGGTTCCTCTGTACTTCCTTCCTGCTCATTCCTTTTCCCCTCACACTTATATACACAGCATGCAGCTGTGGTACACCGTCAAGAATAAGGGCTTTAAAATATAAGTGTTAGGAATAGAAGTTCCACTCTGAATCACTTCCAGCCCTAACACTTCTGATTTTAAGTCTACAATAACTTAGTTGTAGCTGCAGGAGCACTAATCACGATGAATTTATGTGTTCTTCATTATGTGAGATGCTTCACTTTAAAGGCTGATGGCATGTTTGCTATTCCCCTTTCCTCCTGCTCTCATACTACCCCCCACACTCTGTTCCATTTACAGGTTACTTTCCTGAAGGACCTTGGATTACACATTTAGCTGTGTTGTCTTAAAAAGGTGTCTACATTACTGAGGTGCAGGGTGGGATTAATTTACTTCTGGAGTAATTTGAAGAAGGAGGTCAACAGATTAAGCTCCCTTCCTCAAAGCAGCTTCTCTTAAAACTGGCATTATACCAGCTTTTGCACAGATGCACCTCAAATTACATGTGCACACTATATATGTATGTCTTGACTTATGCAGGCACATATGCACTATGTATGTATATACACACACACACAGAGAATAACCCACAGTGCGCCTGGTACTATTCTGTTACAGAGGAAGCAAAGGTAAAAGTGGAAGGGAGGTGGGGGAGAACGGAGCGACAATTAAAACTTGGTTCTTGTGGATAGATGTAAATCTAACTCACAAACCAGAGGCTTCCACTGGAAACATAAAAAACAGAGTGCTCTGTAGTGTGTCAGTTCTCACATGAGCTGGGAGTCCCAGGGGCCTCTGTAGTAGCCATCGAACCTGACCTCCACCCAGGTAGAGTCATTTTAAATTTGACTCTTGGCACACACCCAAGAAAGGAAGGCATTCAGAGGCAATTTGCTTTTGTCAGAGTTCTGCTTTGTTGTCATTTGGGGAATATGTCACCTAAATAAAGAGGAAGATGCAGAAGGCACCAAAACTTCATTTTTTGTATAGCAAACATAGTAGATGTGCAAACATCAGCGGTGGGAGGAGAAAGAGGAAATAAGCAGCTGTGGAGCCGTAGGAAGTGGAGGAAGTTGATGGAGACAGGAAAAAAAGAACATAGCAGGAAGAGGACCAGAGATGGAAAAGGGATAACACCATCAGTAGCAAAATACCCCATAGGCCATTATTCTTCTTCCCTGTGAATATCCTATGACCCAGCAGTCCTTGCAGCATTGTACTCATTTCCCCATAGAAGATGGAACTGAAAAAGACTCCTCCTCTCAAGATGTCTGGGACTGCTTTCTGTAATTCCCTCCTCTTGCCCCAGTGTGAGAGCTGGGTCTCTCAGAAGCAGCATACCACTCCAGAGTGTACCTTCCCACCCCTTTTATTGAGATCTGACAATCGCTATGGATATGTGAATTTATCCTCCCCTACCTGCTCACTCCCTCTCTTTCATGTGTACCCTACAGAGGGAGTTGAGGTGTTGTAAGCAGACAGCAAGCTGGGGTGAAGAGCTAAGGACAGATGTGCTTCACACTTCATTTCTGTCAGGGAAGAGAGAGGATGAGAAAATTCTTTCTGAAATGAATGGAGCAATTCACACCTCTCAAAGCTGTTGTTTCAAGCTACATTTATGTCTCAAGCCATATTCATCTCCATCTTGTATTCTCACTCAGCTCAGGACATCCGACTGTGATGAATAGGTCATTTCACACCTTTCTGAAAAGTCTTCTGTTTAAAGGTCACTTTCTTGTAAGTGCTATATAATCCCCATGCTTATCTAACTGCCTTGAAATCTGGCACAGTTACTGCAGGTGGTGAGTAGAATTATTGATCTAAATTAGAGGTCGTTTGAGTCAAGAATTCCCAAGATACAGCCTTTTCTAAAGAAAAGAGCATTCCTTAACATTGACCAATTGTACCAGTGTTTCCTTTGTGCACACATCTAGAATAAAATTGTGGCCAGAGTCTCAATTTCTTAACATTGACCCTAGCAAATGAAAGGCATCAACTGCCTCCTTGGTGTTCAAAGTTCAGATGTTTTTTAAAATTTCAGGTCCACACATGCAGCAAATTAAGCACTCAAGACTTCAGGGAGTTCCTGACCCTTTGAGTAGGTCTGATCATCTCCTATTCCTAAATAAAAACTGGGAAATCCTTTTCCTTAAGAGGAGGAAGTTAAGAATCCTTCGTTTGACACTTACTAGAGTGCTCAGAAGTTAGACATGAATTGCAGTTAGTCCATTTTAAAATTTAAAAAAAAATAGGAAAAGAAAAGCTAAGTCATACCTCTGGAAATTGTTCAAAAGAGACAGGAGGAAGGGGACAGGTTAGATAGGTCAATGGAAGCCTACTCTAGGTTCTGGTGGGACCTCAGCTCAATAAGATCATAACAGCTTGGAAAAAAGTATGCATATATGTATAGTGCAACAACAGTGATACATGCAAGCAACTGCAGAGTACCAAGTATCTGCCATACAAATGGTGCTTAAAATACCAGGTACAGGAAGAATGTATAAACTGAAAATGTCAGCAAAGAAGTTGGGAGAAAAGGAAGGAAACACAATTATATGTTTCCTCTCATGTGCTTCTAGTCACCATAATTACTGTTGAGATGCCGAGACATAAGACAGTATCTGTGAATCTTTTCACTGGCTTTATCAGCAGCAGTGATATCAGTCTCAAAGGATTCCACTACAGACCATAATTCCTATTTAAGTTTCCAAGCATGTACAAAAGAGAAGGAACATAGGAATCACCAGATTCCTATATATGGATGCAAATTTTTACCTGCTTTTTACTGCTTAGCCTGGCACACCAAGCAAGTTTTCTGACTTCTTCCATTGCAACATCACTGGAAAAAAAAGCTGCTTTGCCTCAAATTGTATGCAACCTGCCCAGCACAGCATCAAAGTGAGACACGGATGAATGGCCTGACTAAATGCTTAAAGGACTTTCATGTTCATTTTTGCCTTCCACCACACAAAGGAGAGGCTGATCTCAACAAAAGTGACTGTAGTAGAACCCATGTCAAGAAAATCGCAACTCTTCTAAACTGTTCCAGCTCATGTCTCCACAAATTCATTGTGAGGTGGATAGCAGTGTACATGTAGTGACTGAATAGGAGGGTCTGCAGGTGTTTCTTTCCGACTAATGCACCTTAGGTTTATATTTTCCATGTGCTGGAAGCTGCAATACTATCAAGCAATCAGTGATTTAATTAAGGTATTTTTCAGGAAAATTCTACCATTACTATTTTGTCATTTCCCTTCATTTCTCAAGGGTTGACATTTTTCAGCACTGAGAAACTATTAATTTAATTCTCTACGTAACTTAAAAAATGAACCACATATAATTTTACAAACAACTGTGCATTAGTGAATAAAAGCAAAGTTGCCATGGAATGCGTATGGAAACATATTCGACCTCCATTAGAATGTCAAAGGTGTTTGTTATAGTCAGTGTTTTAAAACTGAATGCCAGATGAATTCACAATAATATGACATAACAGAATACTATTGGAAACATCTATTCCAAAAGTGTATATACAGTCACATACTTGCATATAAATTACACAGAAATTCAGCCTAAATGATGCTAATAAAACAGAACATAAACTCTGACCAAAAAGACATAAAGCAGTAATTGAAAGAGCAATGAGGTAATCTGATGAACTAATAGCTACAGATATAAAAACAAATTAGAATTCTGGCAATTCATTCAAAGAGTAACTGTTCCTTGAACTTTATCTTCTTATTAAGATATTGCCCATAAAAAAAAAAAAAAAGCATTCAAAATTAAACACAAGCAACAAGCTATTAAGTAATTGATCCGTGGATGGCAAAACAGCACTCCCATAAGGTACCAGAGTACATCAGACAAATGGCGTATTAAATGAAATGAACTCCAAGTAATAGGTCAACATGAATCAACTTTGAAACTAAGATTAAGTGTCAAGAATGGAAGAGCTCAAAAGTAGGTCAAAAGGTAACTATTCCCTTTCAAGGGCTTAAAACTTATAGGAAGAGTGGGTTCATCTGTGCTATCACAATACATTTATTATAGGAAGGCAAGTAAAAGACGAGTTCCAAAAGTCCATCATGAACAGTTGTACCATACACATCTGTTGACAAAGACTCATACAGATCAAGTGTCAAAATGATAGTATGACTTTCCTTGAATCATTGACAGTAGATATACTGCTTCTTCTGCTTGTCTCCCAAAGTATGGAGTGTTGCTGAAGCCACCTTTGGGTAGCTTTACACGGATTAGGTTTTCCCTTATGTTATATAAATTTATCATCCTCTCCATTAAACAGAAGAGCACTCCACAGAAATAAGACCTTCTCAAACAGAATGAGGAAGATAACTAAGCTATACTAATCTCTCAAATAAAGGGTTCCTGAGCTTCCTCTTAAATAATTTTTGAAGTATTTAATAGGATGATTCCCATGTAGAAAACTAAACACATATCCTTTTGATTTCAAAAGGATTGTCGCAGGGAGAATTTGGGGCACAGAGTACCACAAGATAGAACCAGTGGTGAGGGAGTAACATCAAGTCAAACTCCCTTGGATACAGCAACTTCCAGTGAAAACTTTAAAATCCCAGTCACAAAAGCAAACTGTGCTCCAAGCATTTTATTTCCAGGAGTTACATTCATGCAGGAAAGCAGAAAGCACTAGTTGTTTCACTAAAATTCAGGTTAATGGTTAAAAATAAATTAAAATGGTTTCTGAAAACTTAAATCTGTGGTCTGGCTTCTTGCTAGTCCACACCATAGTTGTGTGCAAAAGGCGGTATATTTAACATCAGTAAGTGTATTCAGTACTTTTTTTTTTTCTTTAAGTATCTTAAAAGAATAACATTTTCACATGATTACAGCTTCTTATAAATGACTATTTGCATTAACAGATTAAATGTAATTTCTTCCCTATTAATTAACTTACCGGGTTGACAATATGTCAATAAGTTCTTTTCTGTTCTGGACTCTGAGTGTATTAGTTTTGTATCTGGAATCCTTACTAACTTCAGGCAAATTCAGGATCTAAGTAAAAACAAAGGTGAGTAAGAAATGTGCTTGGCAGGAGATATTTATATAGCTAAGGAAATTCATTACCGATTTAAGACAGCTTTCCAAAAATCCCTACTGCTCATTAATCTTTTAATATAGATTAGGAAATTGGGGAAAGATAATGCCTCCTGGTTAATGTTACATAACAAGAACAGAAAACGACAGAAATTACACTGAAGATCCAAGTCTTAGTTGATATCTTTCACTATTAGTTAGGAGAAATTCTTCCTGTAGAAGTTTGTAAGTTATTACTGTGAGGTTGGAGAGATCTGTAGGATTATCCTGCACTAAGTTATATGTCACAGAATAAGAAATATGACTGTAACTTCATATGCTACACTGAGAAAAGCTATGTTTAAGAATATTTCTTTCGACTTCAGTAATGTCTGTCAAAAAGGCCAAAAAAATGAAAAGGTGTTTTTCCATTGAAACATCATAGTTGTTCTTTATGATTTCTTCCAAAAGAATTAATAAAGAAAATTGGTGGTATAGCCTCCAATAAAGGAGAAATATATCTCTATATGTAACTCCTACCTGGTAAATTAGAAATCTAACCATCATGCAAAGACAATGTGAATTACATTATAAAGGGAATTAAATGTGGAGAATGAGTCTTAGAATTTTGTAGAGGCATTTATGAGACAAAGTAGCTGTGTGGACAATCAATATTTATTATTTACTTTATCTGTTCATGCCACAATGTATTTATATAGAATATAAATAAACAGAATGAGTTGTGCATTTCAAATGTAATAAAAAATATCCCAATACCATCAGCTACAGAGGAAGGCAGAATAGAAGCTTACAAAGAAAGAGACTGTCATGTATTCTTCCCATATTTTTACTCGCTAATACATACTCAATACCAATTTTACTTATGATGAGTCTTATAATCATTCTAAACATGCTACATTTTTTTACAGGGCCATTTCCAAGATGGCTCACAAAACAACAGTACTGGCTGAAAGCTGAAGTCCCTATAGCCCTGTGGCTGAGTGCTGATGCTTAGGAAGAGCTTAAGAACAGGGCTAGTACATATGATACTTGTAGACTATAGATACATATAGACTAGGGCATTTCCGAGTTGGAGCTGTTTTCTATGTATTTAGCAATGCTCAATGGATTTTTGTTTCCTTAACATGTTCAGTCAGTCCTTGAATCCATATGCCTAGGTACTACCACATATAAGTGATACATAGATTGGTTTCAATCTCTCTGATATTTGCCTCAAACCTAAAATTCTACTGATTCCTCTGAGATTGGTTCAGACCAAGGCCACTATTATTTAATGACTCCTCACTTTGCTGGAGTGAATAAGATATGGCTTCCCTTCCAAGTGAATAGCTGTTGATGACGTAAAACCATCAGCAAAACAGGTATTCTTTCAACAGATATTTAGAGATATTCAAAACAAATAGTCACCTTTGACGTAACTGTCACCTAGAGTGACAAAACTAAGCATGTAAATCAAGGTATCAGTAAGTTACCTTACAACAATGACCGTATTACATAACTTTTCTGCAGATTTTTATCTGCAATGTAACATAAAACACCAATCTACCATCTTCCATCAACACTTAATTCACAGCATATTTTCTTTTGCTTCTATGTTTATAAAAAGTTTATAAACATAGTTTATAAAAATCATAACATATCATAACCTAGCTTTAGAAACTGTTCTTCATTTCCTATCTGAAAGTTTAACAATAATATTGCTACCCCCTTAAAATTATCTCCTCTTTTAATAGAGCTTTTTTGGAGTTACAAATCATTGCTTTAGAGAAAAATGTCATGCAAGGTTGTTCAAAGTAAATGATAGTGAATACTTATTTATGAGACCTTAAAAACCAAGCAATTAATCAGAAAACTATCGTTCCATTTGATGAGTTATATGAAAAATGATCATATGGAGTTGCTCACTCTACTGTTTTAATTAACGTTACTGACTTCAGCTTTAACTTAATGTCCATCTGTTGTAAAGCTGTGTGTCTATATATGTTCTTCTCAATTTTTTGTGACTAACAAATGCACATTTGAGAAGTTATTCATTAATGTGCCATTCATCTTTCTGCATCATGCTGCCAATGTTATTTTCTCTATTTCACTGTGACCACTTGGCATGAAACTTCTGTTCTCCATCTCTAGGCCTCCTTCAAGATCTAAGATGCACATTCAGAGTTTATGCTCTCCGCCTTTTGTCCCCCAACACTAGCCAACCTGTTCGTACTCTCCTTCGCTGTACACAAAAGTTCAGTCTTCTGAAGACTCTTGCTCCGTATTCCTACTTAGACCAAAGCAGCACACATCAGGATGTGCTTTTGTAACACTTGACCACTATGAAGTGCACTTCAGCCAGCAGCGTTACAAAGTTTTTCTGCAATTATCCAAGTCCCCAAACGAGCTACAGTTAGTTCTCATTGATTTTGAAAATATCACAGTGAATTATTCCAGGTTTTTTTTTCTTCTGCTTGCCTGAAAAGATACAGTTGAAGCAGAATGTTTGCAATTGTTTACAGCTTGAGCCAGCTGTTACATCTCCAGAGTATGTGTCTTCAGGGCAACAGCTTCCATACAGCCTGTATTTTTAGCACCAGCTCATCTCAGAAAGGTTCTCTAATAGCAATTCCAATGTTTGAATTAGTGGTCTCTGCATTCACTAAAGGTTCACTAGGGTGTTGCAGGCCTTCCTGTAATAAAGTCCTCTTGCTTTATTGGCTCTCCCACTTCATGGTGTTTTAAGTTCCAAATCACCCTCGACTTAGCACAGAGCATACCTCCAACAGGTTTCACAACATTCCACTGACTTCCACATCACTCCATTTCTGGGCAATTTAATGGCCCAATTCCATACCTACAGTAACTCAATAAGGGTAAAAAAAAAACATTCTTTTTAAAAACAAATATGATAACTGGTTTATAGAAAAATCTAACATTAACCAAAACTTGAACTATTTTTTTCTGTTTTTTTCATCCCTTTGAAATGTGAGCAATCGTTATTTTTCCACGTTTCATACCTCCTACTTTCAATTCTAGAAATACCAGAACACCTTTATAAGGCTGAAACGAAGAACATCAGCATGCAGGCTAGGGCCAATATTCATCCCAGTCAATTTTAGTCCTATAGATTCTGAGGTAACACAAATCATAGAAACGTTGCCTCATCTTCTGGAGTACCATTCACTCCTTACTAGTTACAGAGGGAGTGTGTAGCAACGAGTCACACAGTCTCTCAGCTGCACCCTACAGTGAGGTGAATGTATGGTCTGAATTTTTAGTGCCTGAGCCAGATATTCAGCTCTGCCTTACTCAAGGATGGCAGGAAAACCACCATTTGGTACATAATTCTTCAGGTGATAAAGCACCATGAAGACATCCACAGCTGTCTCCTGGGACTTTCTGCAAAGATTTCCTTTATGAGACAATGAGTCTTTGATAAAACCAAGTTGTGGCAGGTAGATACTTATTCAGTCATTAGTCTTCATTCATGTTAATATAATGACCGCTCTATCATGGTTGGACACCTGTATGAAGAAAACCCACTGAGAAAACTTTGAAGAGGTTAACTTGCTACCTATTGAGGGAGCCAATTCAAGCAAATGAAACCACACCCCTCCAGATTAGAAGGTGGGGGATGTGTAGCCCAAACTGCACTAAGAGAGGATCTCAACTGCACTGTCTTCTTACTACATATTCCAGTTATTAGCTATGGCATCCATGGAAATGTGAAATGTCTGGTATGAACAAATGGAGGAAGATAATGCTCAATTTCCTGAAGCCTCCATCTCATTTAGAGTGTGATTAATTTAGGCTAAATATCCAAGTTCCTAGAGAAAAAACATAATGGCAGCAAAAATGTGGAATTTTCATTTTTAAAAATGCTGTATAATGCTATATGCAAAATTTCTCTTGTCCCAGCTTCCACATTACTGGCATCTTTTGTTTGGAATGTTGCTACGCTTTATTTATGAACAATTGTTTCCCTGCAACCATTCCTGCTCTTTTAAAATGCATTCATTGTCCAGGGAAAAGCAATTCCAGGTATTAAAACAAAAGGAAAAGAGTATGTGAAAAATCCACAACCATTCTACAACTTTCCAAGCTACCTTCTGTGAAAACAGAATTGCCAGAGTCATGTTCATTCAGTTCAAAATAATGAAGATACCAGATTTTGAACACAGCCGTCCTGTTTGAAGATTTGTTCTTCGGTGGTGTATCGCTGCACCACTCCAAAGTCAGCTTACAGTCCTGTAATATTTCTTTTCTAACAAGTCCACAAGTTTCTCTGTGGGCGCAGTCCAGCACATACTAGTGTTCAGAAGGACTATGCACTCAGCTACTGGTTAAAGTGGCACAAGAAACATGCATCCCCTAGCTTTGCTTTGTTAATAGCTGTGCCTACCATGTATTTTATGGAGAAACAGGATCACATTTCTTCCTGAAAAAGGCACCAGTGTGACTTCCATGACAATCACCACTCCAAAACCAGAAGGTTGTTAGCTTGTCCATTCTTTTACCTAATTAGCTGTGTAGCTGCACAGACTTCACAGGGGGTTCAGCACACACAAGTTTGGGAATTGGGGTGTTCTGAATACAGAGGTAAAGCACAGAATCCATATCAGTTCCCCAAAACTACCAGCCAGAACCCCAGAGTTAGAATTTATACTCACTACTTGTTTTCACAAAAAAAGGGGAATTAAGAAGCAATCAGTAATTAATTTCCTAGTCAGAATGGAAACTATTACACATTTCTGTACTGTCGACTAACACACCGTTACCTTGCACACTGTGACAAACTGCTGATCATTTCCAGCTCCCACCACGATGTAGCCATCCTTGGTCTTAAAAGCCTGGAATAACAAAGATAGGTGATAATTTGTAACTAAACTATAAAATATTAGTGCATCTTTTAAGTGAAAACTTTGTAAATAATGTTCAAATGACTCCCTTAAACATTTCCATTCAGATCCAATCTCTCGTTCTATAAAAGTCATCCACAAAGATGGATGCAGACCTTTTGATTTTTCTAGAGTTGAGAAGTTTATCTTGGTTAATAGCTTATTTGCTGAAAATGTGCCTTGAGGCATCCTGAAACTTTGCAAATGTGTCCCACACTCACAGGGACTGAGAAGGATTTACCAGGATAATACTTGCCAGGAGTTATTTATTCAGCTTCACTCTTAGCCTGACTGAGAGCAGACAGCTGCACTGAGGTGTCACAGATCTTGACCAAATACGCAAAAAAAAATAATTGCCAAATAGCAATGACAAGTTAGGGACTCTCATGGGAATGAAAGGGATAGGCTGCATCTTTCCAGTTCTTCAGCTGGAGATTAAGCTATCTCCTTGGTCAAAGGTCTCAAGACTGAGCTCCTGAAGAAAACGGGACTTTTCTTCCAGCTTTGAGGATTTTTTTTTTTCTTTTTACTTCATTACAGTGGCCTTACTGGCACGTTTCATGGTGAACAGAACATTTAACTAGGTAGGACATAACAGCTTTCATTTCAGTCTAAATCAACTCCACTTAGTTTTTCAGTGGAAAAAAGAAAATCTATAATTGGCATCATCCTTGATTTTTACCATTGTGTCAGGGCATCTTCTAAAATGGGATAAGGCAAACAGATTCCCCTTTCCTCCACACTTCTTCCTCACACAAGGGTGTGTAACTGCAGGTTCAGTCGTGCATGTTACTACCACAGTTTTTGCAAGCATTTGGGAAAAATTCTTTCGCTGTTAATTTAACTTCAGTGCAAAAGGCCAGCACAGGCTGGTGCACTAATGGTGACGAGGCCTTGCGATACTTTCTTGCAGAGACCAAAACTCATCTTCCATTCTCAGAAATCAATTTTTAATGAGCTACCATGTCTTGATCTAAAGGTGTGAGTTCTTCCTATAAATTTTGGTAAAATAACACACAAGCATAAGCCTTGACATGGTAACACTTTCATAATAAAAAAATCTTCTCATGCCACTGTGGTTTATTCTTCTTCACAAACAAGAATATGCTATTCCAACTTGCAATCTTTCATACAGATACAAATACATCCACACTAAGACTCTTTTACCATCTGGTACGGTCAAAGCTTTAAAATTTTATGTGGAAAATTATGTCTGCTGAAATGCAAGTAACTGTACACCATGGTTAGGATATCACTTGTTTGCTCTCGCTATGTTTCATTTCCTGGTAAATAGCATTGGTCAGTGATAAAGTTTAGCAATATTTTTTTTTCACACATTTAATTAACCACTTCAGTCTAAGATTCTTAGCAAGCAAAGATGAAATTCAGCAAACATTGAGTCCCAAGCATGGGAAAAAAAGTCCTACTGACATGGCCCCAATGCATTAAAAGTCTAGAAGCACGCATAATATAAAGGTTATACTGCATACTCACGCTGAGGAAAGCAATGAGGAAAGAAAAAATTGGGGAAAAGAATGCAGAAAACAAAGTTGTATATGAATGCATAAACATTTTTTAGATATAAATATATCTCTATATCTGTTCCTGAAGATTTCGGTCTAAAACAATCATTACAGAGCTTGGTCTAAGAACATGTAAGACACTTCCCCTCCCCTCCCCCCAGTAAATGGCTTTTAGTAGGAATAGTGATGAACTAAAACTGTCCGTATAAACTTACTACCTTTAGTTACAGGCAAGATTTGTTTTCTGAACACCCTGACCAAATCCTGACCTGTCTTTGCTGACATCCTAGAATTCTCTGAATTCTAAAACCAGCCACACACGTTTCACAAACTATGGGCTAAACACAACACCTATGTGCATGCATATGTAACACAATAGAGTTTTTATTGGTGCGACCACCTACTACTTCCAGTAAACACAAATCAGAAATTCTTTTACACATTCTTTTAAACTTCTAGTCTGGATGCCTGTTACAGATTGCAAAGCCTACAATAAATGCCATATGTACTTATATACAGATTCCCTTCCTCCGCACTCCAAAATATTTTTAAATTGGTAGTATGGGCAAATCCTAAAGAGCTTACAATTTATCAGCAACTTCTTTTGAGACTTGCATCTCTGTAAGAAGACTGCAATCACACAATAGCTGCATACCACTATGAAACACGCATCTGTACCCGTGGGCTGTCCATGCAGCAGCGGAAGTCACTCTAAATTTAAGGGCCTGGTTATTAGCATTTGTGCTTCAGTTGCTTTACGGAATGTGTGGGAAAACTGATTATTCTTAATTGCACTGTATGTCTAAAAAGCTAAAACAACAATCATGTCATCCTTACACAACAAAAATGGTATCATAATAAATGCAGCAGTGTCTTTTTCCATGAAGCTTAACTCAAATGTCTTGGGCTGCTATTTTAAGCTTCCCATTACAAAACAGCTGATTATTTGCCAGTCACTGCTGCTGATAAAGCAGAAACTTCCAAAGGTTATTAGCACAATATTGATGCCAACATTTAAGGGTGATAACAATGGTTTTATTCATCACCCATAAATGTACGCACACTACAGGTTACCACAGGTTACTGTCTGGTCACAGAAAGCTTCACAATCTTATTATACAAAGGAGAGTAATGGCAAAGTGCAGACAGATTTTAATGAGATTTTGTTTTGATAAACTGCTGTCCATCACATCGAATCATTTCACATTAGTGCAATAAAAGGCACTACGCACACAAGGCAAAAGTCTTTTTTCCCTTCCTCTTTTTCTGAAGAATAAGGTCTTCTTGATACGATTTTTGAGAGCATGAGCATGATTTAACCTGCTACTCTCACATGGTGTCCTGAGAAATGGGACGTGACTTGGTGAAGACAAGAAACAAAAACCAGGCAAAAAAATTAGTCCACCTCTTATTCATGGAAAAGTCAGAGATAGATTGCGTAGCATCCAAAGGCATAGCTTTTCAGCATGGTATAAAAAGCTTGGGGGTTTCTAGGAAGATAATCTGTAAATTCACATTAAACTATATATAGTACATGACATCAACATATATGTTCAAAGTCAGATCTCAAGGTCCAGTGTGCATACATCAGCACCTCACACTGACTAATGGCTGTTACAGGACCTCATTAAGATTCAGCACTTTTCCAAATTCGATCCTAGAACACTGTGCATACCTGAGATACTTTATGTACTGAAACATTTTAACATCCCTAAACACAGGTAATATAAACTCTATCTGCCTTCAAGAAATGTTCTAAGTGATTTACAGGTATTCTCCAAAAACACGATATACACAATACAATAAAGACGCATCCCAAATTTAATCGTAGTTTATTATCAGAGCAGACAAAGACTTGCTGAGATAACTAAGGCCAAACTAGCCAGTCTTTCACTGCTTTATGTCAACAGCCTTTCAAAATTTCCCAGCTTTGATGGTGATAATGAAAGACCATCAATCTCTTGCATTTATTGCCTGCTTTATGAATTTTAAGCCTATATATGCTATGGCAATCATCAATCATACATAAATATCTTTGCATATGTTTCAATTTGCATGTTGATTCCACAAACAAAACTTTAAAATGTAAGAGAGCAATTAAAAGATATGCCAATTCCAGTAAATTGATCAAAAGTCCAGGTCAGTTTTCAGTATTTGAATCCAAAACACAGAAATCAAAACAATCAGAACATCTGCTGTGGCGTATGGTGATGCTTTTCTCCCCTCTATCATGTATTTATACATATTCATAAGATCTCCTCAAGCCTCCTCTCCATTCCTCCAGGATAAACAGTCCCAGCTCTCTCAGCCTCTCTTCATGAGAGATGCTCCAAAGCCCTTAATTATTTTCATGGCCCTTCGCTGGACCTGCTCCAGTATGAGCACATCTTTGTCCTACAAACCCCAGAAGCAGACCCAGTTGTGTACCCATAACTGGATCTACTGGTTATTTGTCCTTACCAGTGCCGAGCAGAGGGGAAGGACCACCTCCCTCGACCTGCTGGCAATGCTCCTAATACATGTCCTTTTCTGCAAAGCTGCCTTCCAGCCAGTCAGCCTCCAGTCTGTACTGATTCATGAGGTTATTCCCTACCATGTGCAGGACTTTGTATTTCCCTTTGTTGAGTTCCACTAGGTTCCTGTTGGCCTTTTTCTCCAGCCCGTCAAGGTCCCTCTGAATGGCAGCACAACCACCTAGTGTACTAGCCACTCTTCCCAGTTTTCTGTATTCTGCAAACTTGCTGAAGGTGCACTCTGTCCATCATCCAGGTCACTAATGACCACGTTAAACAGTACTGGCCCAGTGTACCCCTAGGAATGCCACTGATGAGTGGCCTCCAGGTGAACTTCATGCCACTGATCACAACCCTTTGAGCATGACAGGTTAGCCAGTTTTCATTTCACCGCAAAAATCTAAATCTAAATCAGTGCTGTTGAGAGAGTGCATAGTGAGGGCACTTCATGATCTAGTCTCAGAAGCTGTTGGCAGATCAAATCCAGCACACACTGAAATATAGCCTGCAGCCATCACCATTAGTAGGCAGCTTCCCAGCACCACAAGACCTGTCAAGGACAAATGCAAAGGATGCAAGTGCCATCCAGGCAGAAACTAGCTGTCACTTCTTCAGAGACTTCTCAGAAAGAAGAATTTGGAGACTAAACAATATTTGGAGAGACAAACAGAACAAAGAATTGGATTTTTGAAATTGGAGAATTATTCCATATTTAGGAAAGGTTAATAGCTTTAATTAGCTGAACAAGCTACTGATTATTTTCATTACCAATTACAGTATTGGCCCCTTTACTGATAATGGCAGTCAATGGTCAAAATATTTGAAAGCTTCCAGGACTCCCCTTGGAGGAAGATTTACACTACATCAGGTATAGTAAAAGGGGTGTATTACTCGTCTTTATGAGTTCTCTTATCTG